GCATTCCATATGCTCTTTCTGGAAAACTTCATCAAGCTCATGCTGGTGGAATCCAAACAGAAGAACAGAGTCCTGCCCTACTTGCTCCTGATGCACATGGAGGCTTCTTGTGTACTAATAAATGGTGTATTTTATAATAATTAAGAACATTAGGTGCTTAATTATAAAAATATTGTTGAGAAGAGCACCATATTCAGCCATGAGATAAGCACCTCAAGATGAATTGCAGAATGAGGAAAAATGCAACAGAAATATTGTTTTGTATTTGCTTTGTATTAAATATCTGCTTTGTATTAAACATCATGAATTTCCTCTCTCTACTTGTATTTTTTATTTTTTATTAACAGCCTCAACAAACAAACAAACAAAAAAACGCACAAAAATACTCAAAGGAAACCAAAACATTCAAAAAGCTCAAACCCAAAATCACAATAGTAAAACCAAAAAAGCACTTTTGTCTCCAGGAGGAGATGATAACCTTCCACATAATAATGAATGATTAATAATCCACACAAGTCGATGCACTGATGTTCTAGGCAAATTAACCCAGATGTCTGGAAAAGTTCCATATGTGTTACATCCTTTGGACGTGTGTCTTATATTAACAGGTAAGAGGAGGAGAAGACAGCAGGTATAAATAAATATTATATCAAAGCTTTTCACATTGTGAAGACAGTTTTTGCTCATCATAAATGGGGTATTTTTCCCTTTTGCAAATCAGTTTCACTTTTATTCCCAATGCTACTGACCCTCCTGACACGCAGAAAACATTTTCAGTTTAACTTCTTTTTCAATCAATTAAGCAGTATGTTTCATTTCCCTTGCAACTCAGAGACTGGAAGAAATTACAATCCTGGAGTAACAGTATGAAATTACAACAGCATAAAAGTCTAATCAGTAATAGAATCAATAATGAGGATATCTGTTAGGTTGTGATTTTGCCTTTGGAGAGATTTACGAAACATCACTACTGGGTGATGCAACAGAGCAAGTCTATGTTGGACAATGAGGGGAATTTAGGATTACAATGTCTCTGTCAGATAAAAACAAACCCTGTAAGAGAAAAACTGTGGAAATATTCCAGCGTCTGGTCTTGAAGAGTTCCATGATGGCATGAGCAGAAAAGATGACCTTTTTACAATCTTTAGAACAGATGCAGCTCATATGCATAACACAAGCTTTGAGTACAGTACCTAGGCTAAGCTTCATGGTGGGGATGAAAAGGCAAGGCCTTTCACATGCTTGAAGGCTCTGAGATTGCTCATACCAGCAGCAGTGCTATCATTCCATCATATGCATTGCTTCAACTACACAAGTTTACTTAGGTTGTTCAGAAAAGACAGAAAAACGGGACATTATGTCTTCTCTCTGTCAGTACATGGATAAAGGATTATAGACAATCTTCCCTTGTTCCATAGATCCTTGCCTTCTGTTGCTTGCTTGTGAAAGCAGATCTTCTGCAAAGTTCTGCCTGTGCTTTGGCCAGGGCAGAAGAAAGGGCAGCTGGTCACATCCAGCCTGAGGGGTGGACTGGCAGGGCAGTTAGCCAGAGTTCAGTCTTCTGGCAGAGAGCTTGCTACACTTTTAGTTGTTACTTCTATGTACAAAGGGACTTCAAATTAGCTGTATGCTGTATGAGACAAGAGAGCCTTTAAAAGCTTCAAAATGGCCTACGAATAGTGCTTTTCTTCCTTCACGGATGTGTAGAACTCTCCCACGGGATATACAATGGCTATTGTGATACTCAAGACAGCTGTATCTGGGTTCTATCTGGAGCCTACTTTTACATGGGGTAGTTATAAAACTAGCCAATTTATAGACAGCTCAAGTTTGTCTCAAGAAACAAGGTGTCTTTCAAAAGATAATTCAGAATGAACTCTGTGGGTGCTGTATTACTTCCAAACTATGTATAACGAGGAAAAGAGCAATGAAACCATGGCAGCAAGTGAGCAGCAGTGCTGACACAAATGCCTGCATACACAGACTGAGGGAGGTTAAACTTGCCCCTGTCTGAGAAAGAACAAGGCTCTGGAAAACAATCCTGCAGGCAGGACATCTCCAATAAATGAACTGGGAGAAAGAAAAGGTAGGGTATAGCTAATGAAATGGAGACAGATACATAATACCACTGGACTAACTTTCCTCAGCAAAGTGGTTTCACTTGGAAAGAAAATTAAGATTTCTAGGGCTAACAGAGCACCATTTTATACAGGATTCCATGAGGCTTTATTAAAGACAGTGCCCTTTAATAAATAGTTTAAGAATCTGATAGATTCAAGCTACAAGGTACACAGTTTACAAGAATACCTTACAAAAGAAGAGATAATTTTATCATTTTGTATACATAAGGACTGGATGTCATTGCAATTCTTGAGTACAGCATACACAAAACCACATATTGTTCTCTTAAAATGTATACTTTTATATTTTTCCAAAACCACAACAGGACCCCTTGATATGATAAGTGCTAACTACACTGAAAAGTATTCTCTACAAGGAAATGAGGGGTAATTAAGACAGTAATATATCTAGATAATTGGTAACCAGGTCACAGCATCCTCACAGCAAAGCTGAGATGAAGAACAAAGCAATTTTGAATTCAAGGGTGATCTGAACTGAGACAAAAGGTACATTATCTTAATGCTGGAAATGAACTCCAAAGGCCTCAATCTGTTGAAAATTTCTAGAGAAATCAGTGTGTTTCCCAACTGTTATCCAAATAAAGACTATGTAAGCATCTAAACGAAGAGCAAGGCTGCAAAGCAAAGTATTAAAAGTTGGGGCTATAGGAACTCTTGCAAAATGCATGCTGTTAGAGTCACCTTTGTTGCATGCGCAGTCTCAATGACAGGAACAGCCACTTCTGTCCCTTCATATTCTTGGTCTCCTTCAACACATAAAACACAACACTCTTGCTCTGGACATGAATTAAGGATTGGTTGCAAAACTAATCAGAAGTCTTCTTCACATTTTGCCAAAGTCAGAAGACAGAGAGGCAAGTGGATACAGTAAACAATTACTGTAGATACAGACAACAATTAAAGTAGAATAGTGAAGGGAAAAGAGAGAAAAATAAAAAAAATATTTAAAGGAGGATTCTAATTTGCCTCTGACAACAGAATTTTCTGTGCTCTGATGGGAAAGTCACCCAACTAACATTTCTTAGAGGTGTTTACTACAAGTGAATCATATGCTTTCTAGTTGACCCACCTCATACACCTTTAGCCTTAGTGTCAAGGTACATTATGTTTACAGCTAAAAGCAAAGCCATAGGGAGCTGAGCACTTAACCTGCAGCATTCAGTACACCTTGAGCCTCATTTTTAAAGGGTCATACAAAGGGAGAATTGCCTCCTTTTGTCTAAGCCAGAGTAATTATTCTCAGTGTTTCATTAACTGAGTATCTAAACCCAGCATTTGAGAGATGATACTATTTAGAATTCAGTAGGAGATTCAAATTAGAGAAAAACACTGAAAGCCAAAAATTTTTCCAGGACAAGTCCTAACTCTTAGCAACATCAATGGAAACAGTACTAAGCTAGAGTGATTATTCTCAGTGTTTCATTAACTGAGTATCTAAACCCAGCATTTGAGAGATGATACTATTTAGAATTCAGTAGGAGATTCAAATTAGAGAAAAACAATGAAAGCCAAAAATTTTTCCAGGACAAGTCCTAACTCTTAGCAACATCAATGGAAACAGTTTAACAACAGAGTATTCTGTAGTGTAACCTGTAATTGATTTGCTGGAGCTACCTTCAGGAGGATATCTAGCACTGATTACTTTGGGAAAGTAGAGGGCAAAGCCACAGCAACATAACAAGATGTCTTGAACTGGGTAGAAGATTGTTTTATTACTGAAGATGTTGTGTTGATGGCATTTGCTTTTGACAACTACTACAATAGGCAAGTTAAATGGGAAAGTTTTGTTGTTTTTTTTTGAAGTTAAAGCCAAAACACTGTAAACTATTGTTGCATCCAAATACATCATCAAATTTATTGAAAACTCTGCTATCAAGATCCTGCCTTAGAAGACAGTCATAGCCTAAGCAATAAAGCTATATATATATACATGAATTTTCACTCGAACATCTTCTAATGCATAGAGTTTAAATGAATGTCTGTGATTTTTTTTCTGGTTTTAAATAAATTAGTTGGCTTCCTCCTGTGTCCAGCACTTTCTGATGCAGTCTTAGAATATTTTTTTCTTTTACAACTGTTTTCAAATAATTTTGCACAAAAACAGGTGACAGGTAACAGCAGCTTAGCTGCTATTTTCAGCAGCAAAAAGTTAAGGCCTCAAAAAAGGATCCTTTATTAATAAAATTCATAGCTAGATCATATTAAATATTTAGCTATGTAATCATCTACTGCCAACTACTGTTCCATGCTTGCACATTGACAAATTGATTTGTGGCAAAAACCCCTCCAGAATATTAATTCCTTTGATTAAGATCAACTTGACTTGAGCATAGCTACTGCCAAGCTCTATTGTCAGCTTCACTTGCCTGGAAAGATGGCAACATGGATAGCACTCATCTTTCCTCAGATGGAGACAAAACCTACTTAAAATCACAAGGAACTCAAGTCTCCTGACAGTACTATTTCACATTATGAAATAGCAGTGATGTCCCACTAGATCATGGGACACTGAAACCACGCAAACACATACAGACAACAAGAACAGGATAGTCTAAAATACCAAGCTGCATTTCGTGTTATTGCTGTGATGCAATCTAAGTGCTCCACACTGATTTTCGGTACTGAACATGAACATGGGACTCATTGTTGGCAATTAAGATCTGGATGGCATTAAATCTTTCTTGGATTCATAATTCACTTTGTTTTGGAATGATTAAAATAGGACTGCTAAAATCCATTTCTCTAACTCACACATGTCTAAATTCACCATGTATATGCCCCATTTATAAAGAGCTGTTATGTTAGTTGCCTTCATACACAGTACATTTAAACATTATTTAGGAAGCAGGCATATCTTACCAGGAGTAGTGCTGTACAGCTCAGATGGGATGCTGACCTTTTGGCTGGAGGGAATCCGCTGATGGTATAGAGGAGGTGTTGTCACTAGGAGAGTAGGAAAAGCACAATTCCTCTTAAGTAACAGCTAAAATGTTGATAGTGCTATTAATATAAATAAACAAATGAATAAATAGAAGCAGGCATTTTTTTACCATATGTCATCTCTGGTGACAGGGGAAAAGCTGGTGTGGATGTGACAGCTTCATTTCCATTTTTTGTTGTGGAGAAGATTCCCCCATCTATTTCATCTTGGTAATGTACAACCACCATCTATGAAAAGGCACAAAAAAGCAAAATTGCAGCGTGAAAATTCCCACTTAACCCTCCAACACAGTGGGACATTCTTCATGAAATTACAGAAGGTTTCTGTAATCAGATATAATCTGATCCACTGTTCCAGCAGAGAGGATCTTGGAACACTGAAAACATGCAAACCCACAGCATAGACAAGACCAGGACATTCTTGAATGCTGAACTGCATTTCTGAGGTAACTGCAGTCCTTTGTTCTAATTGCCATGATGCAACAGCCCAATTGCTTCACATTGATTTTGGACACTGAACATGAACATAAGACTTCCTATGGACATTTGCCTCAGTAAGATTTCTTGAAATATTCTTCATTGTTTACCTCCTTGGTCTCCCCTACAGCAATCGGTGATCCTGGATTTACAGCCTGGTCAGTAGCAGGAGACTTCAGCCATCCACACCTGTTATATGATGGCTGCCCAGGGACATCATTGTCGTACTGCCCAACACTTAATTTTCTGATCCTTTTCCCCGATGCACCATAGTCTTGCATACCTGTTGCTGAAAACAAATAGGCAAACTGATTAAGAAATATTTTATTTTCAGTTAGAGCTGTTAAAAAACTTCACTATTGTGCCTGTAGTGATTGTATTCAAGAACGTTAATGGAACAACTGTTTTACAAAACCACATAGTGGGGGGAAAAAATATCAGTTGTAGTTAGCCTTGCTGGCACTAGCTGGAACATATTCGCAGTACCCTGGTGTAGTGAGTTGACCCTGGCTGGATGCCAGGCACCCACCAAAGCCACTCTATCACTCCCATACAGAAATGAACAAGGGAGAGGAAATATAACAGAAGGTTCATGAGTTGAGATAAGGACAGGGAGAAATCACTCACTAAATACTGTCACAGGCAAAACAGACTCAGCTTGGGGAAATTAAGTAATTTTGTTACTAAGAAGATCAGAGCAGGACAATGAGAAAATAAAGCAGACCTTAAAAATTCATTCCCCAATCCTTCCCTCCTTTCCAACTCTACCTCCTCCCCATCAGTGGCACAGGGAGATGGGGAGTAGGGACTACAGTCAGTTCACCACAGGTTGGTTCTGCTACTGCTCTCAGGGAGGGGAGTCCTTCCTCTGCTCCAGCGTGGGGTCCCTCCCAAAAGAGACAGCTCTCCACAAACTTCTCTGCGAGTCCTTCTCAAGGGCTACAGTTCTCCACAAACTGCTGCAGCATGGGTCCCTCCCCACAGGGTGCAGTCCAGCCCCTCAGGGACAGCCTGCTCCAGCACAGGTCCCCAACAGGATCACAAGTCCTACCAGGAACTCTGCTCTGGTGTGGGTCTCCTCTCTCCATGAGTCTGCAGGTCCCTGCCAGGACCCTACTCCTGCAAGAGCTTCCCATGGAGTCACAGCTTCTTTTCAGGCATCCACCTGCTTTAGTGTGGGTCTCTTCCACGGGCTGCAGGTGGATCTCTGCACGCTGTTAACCTCCATGGGCTGCAGGGGGACAGGCTGCTTCACCATGGTCTGCACCACAGGCTGCAGGGGACGCTCAGGTCCAGCACCAGGAGTACCTTCTTCTCCTTCTCCACCGACCTTGGTGTTTGCATAGTTGTTCCTCCCACATACTGCCACTCCTCTCTTCTCTGGCCACAGTTATTTCTGCACAATAGCTTTTTTTCCTTTCTTGAATATATTATCACAGAGGCCTTAATACCACCACTGATTGACTCGGCCATGCTGTAGTGGTGGGTCTGTCCTGGAGCCACTGGCACTGGCTCTGCTGGGGAATCTTCTAGCAGCTTCTCACAATAGCCACCTCTGTAGCCCCCCCACTGCCAAAACCTGGGCATTGAAAACCACTACATCTGGGCTGCAGAGGAGTCATTCAATCAGTATGTTCCTGCTG